CACCTGCATCTAAATTTAATTCACCAGTCGTTAATATCGAAGCGTTGCATGCGTTTAGCGTATCGAAAGCGTTTAGGAGATCAGCTGTTGGATGCTTCGAGAGCAAATTGCGGCGCTCAGCTATTTTCGAACGAGGTTGGTGCCCTCTTTTACGTGTCTACATGTCTGCAATAACATCGATGATGAAGGATTTACTGATGATTCAGTTTTTTCTGTTTGCGGTATGAGGCGAAAGTAGCTGAAGTTGTGATATTTTTCCCTAAATGAAGACAATCCTTGTTATTGAATAGATATCTCCTTAGAACTTTTATAGCCTGCGAATAAGCTCCCTGGCTGGGTTTAGGCCGAGCAATTTGGTTTACGAGAACTAATCATCCGTACGAACGTGATATCAACCCGCCAGACTTGATTGTCTCCATTAGGATTGTTAAGTTATGGAATGAATTACCAAGAGGTGCAGTGGAAGCTGATAACCTTCAGCGGTTTAGATCTAAGCTCAAAGTACACTTAAATGTTTAGTTGTACATGTAACTAAGGATCTTAGTTGTAATTTTTATTTCAGTTTATTGTACATTTTTAAGAGAGTCTTCACATGGGGAACCCTTGACTTCCTTTTCTAGGGGCATCTTTTGTTTCTTTTTTGTTTGTTTGTTTGTTTGTTTTAAGTTTGAATACCTTCCATATTAAACTGAATTGAAACATGTATCACATGTATTTTAGGCTACCAAATGTAGCCAAAAACCTTGAAGAAAATTGTAGACTTCGCCATCTGCTGAATTCTCATATGCTCGAACAGGAGACGTTTCTTTCTTTTTTGTTTAAATGACTTTTGACCTTCTAAGCGTTGTGAATGCTTCAGTCGTCTACTAATACTATGAGCTAATTTAGACCACGATGCTGTAAACACAAGAGAGTCACATTTCATACACGTCTTGGCGAGTATCTTTACATCGCACCACAAGGAGCGCTGCATTATCATGCGACGCCAGTGTTTTGTCATGGCCGAGAAACAAGAACACTCATATACTCGTGATTTCCACAGCTGTTCATCTAAGCTTGTTTGTCCAGTGTCGTTAGTATCTTTATTGATCTGTGCCGCTGCCTTGGTGCGTGTTGAGATCATAAACCAGCGAGTTCACGATGTTGAAGATCTTGTGGCGGACGCGCGGCAGAATCAGAACCTGATCAAAGTGTTCACCGATGCAGCAAGCTTCAAACGTCCTGAGAGAGTCGAATCTGTTGAAGAATTTGATCACAGGATCATAAAACAGAGTAAAGATGAGACAGAAGGTAATCGGTGTTTTATATCGAGCTGTTCTACCATCACGGTTCACCTTTGCAAGACGCACTAGGAAGTTATTGTTGTGATTCAAGTTCCCGTTCTGCCTCTATAAACAAAGAAATGTTGACAATAAGTTTCAAAGTAACTCATTTATTTCGTTTGTGACTTTTTAATTCCTAGAACTGAAAATTTCTCTGGGTGGATACGCAACAAGACATTTCGTCGATCTGATTTATCTCGATATTCTCATTACCAGAGTGCTCCAGAATGTATTAATATTTTAAGGAGAAGTTTCATCTTGATCACTCCTAAGAATTTGAATGGTTAGACTGAATGATGGTACTATGAGACTAGCTATCGTATATTTGAGCAGTGAACGAACATGTGAAATTTGTTTCATAATCTTCTCCGTGGTAATTTTATTTGGTAATTCGTTGCATTTCTAGTTTATTCATTCAGTCCGGCTAGGAAGCCAGACATAAGTGGAAATAAGGTCAGCCGATCAAACGGCTGGATCACATTTCAATAAGTATCACTCACTAGAGACTTTGAAGCAATTTTTTCCCATCGCTCAATGAAAAGGGATCCAAAATCATACTTCTTGAAATGTGATTAAAAATTTGAATTGTCATGCAGGGGATTTAAGTGAAAGAGACATTGGGAGATCGATCTAATTGATTTTGGTATAAAGCCAAAGCCGAATGAATCAGCATATTGCAAAGGTCAGGAGACATAAAACACGCCAGATCAGTTGTCGGTAAGTGTTTATTATCAATTTTTCTCAATCAGTGATATTTTTCCTTCTACTCTGTTATAAGGTCATATTGGAAGAACCCCCCGGTCTAGCACGAAACCACACGAGCTTACTATGGAGTCAGTCAGAA